AAACACTTGACGGATTTTCATCATTTTTGCGTTGAAAGGAAGATTTGAAAGAAGCCAATTTTGGGAACTAGGGAATGTCGAAGCCACAATTTTAGTTTAGGGTTTCAGTTTTTTTAAAATTAAGTTTAAAATATTAAAAAGTCCAGCAGCCAACGCTAACATTCTACTCTAGGTTTTGGTATTATACAATTTGCTTAACGTAACAGCTGTAAACAATCAGCGTTTTCGACACAAATACAGCATTTGGATGAAAATGAAAGGACATACGTAGGGTTGACTTTCTATACTATGTGTAATGCTTTAATAATTGATACGTTTATTTATTCGGTTAGAGGACGAGAGATAATTTAAATATACAAAGTAAAATTAAAATAATAGATGTTCTAATTTATTTTTTCAACAGTCTATAAAATCTTTAGTTTGTTTTAGTGCAATATAATTTGTTATAACTAACAGCTGGTTGAATATACAAATATTCTAAGAACTATGAGGTTAGTTTATTTACTCTGTGATTTTGTCATTGATTATAGAAATTAAGTAAGATTCTATAACCATTGCTTTATACGAATCGAAGCTCACGAGACTTCAAAAGAAAGCTTATGAAAATTGTTTTTCCTACAGTTACCTAACAATGTACATGTTCTCTCACTGATTTGAGAAAGCAAAGTGGTCAATTCGCTCATCAGTGAGACAATGTTAACATTGTCTCACTCTAATTACTTTGTCTCACTCCAGATTTGCAACGTGAAGGCACGAAATAAAGAGCGCGTAACATGCAGGCAACGTCGTATGCGCGCGAAATACGTTGGCAGCACTGGCTGTAAATCAGCTGGTCAGCTATTGTACTGTTGTATTTGTCACTTCACGTTAAATGTTATATTAAAAGTTCACTTCTGTGTAAACATAGGTTATGTTTCTTCACCAATTTATTTGTTTTATGGTAACTGTAGGAAAAGTATAATGTGCAACTCGAGTTCAAAGTACAATTGCCTCACTCGAGAAACCATTCCTCACTCGCCTACGGCTCGTGAGTAAGGATTTCTCTCGAGTGAGTCAATTGCTAACTTTTCTCACTAGTTGCACAAATAACTATTACCACCCGAATTTTTGAGGACAGGTTGGGAAAGTAACAACGACCAGAAGTTTTAATTAATCTTGGTAGCTTTTTCTTTACAATAAACTTTGAACTGCTTAAACTAAGCTTGAATTAGGAATATACATATTGATATAACTATATACAATTTTAATGGACTGCTCGATTCCCGTACGTAGGACGGGCCAACAGCTCGTTTTAAAATAAAACTATTTATTCCCGAAACATACCATTAATTTACATAGCATGTTTTAAATTATACTTCATCCAAATATTTTGTTAGAAAAACAAATCTATTTAAAAATCATAAAATTTAAAATTCCTGCCGGACCGATTTTGTTACTTAATCGTTGGAAAGCCTAATTCGTGTAGATTTGCAAATAGATATGAGAGTGTGATTTTATTACTTTTTGAGGAGAAAAATGAAAATAAACAATAATACATTTCAAACGCCTTTTTTCCAAGTTTATATTTGTAGCCAACTTTAGACTGTCTTTATTGAGTATTTTCAGGAAATACATGATAGTAATTTGTAGGAAATTTTATTCTCTATCAAGAATATCACCGTCCACTTTGGTAGATTTCCTCACCATTTAAAAGTTACTCTATTTTCAAAAACGTTAAGCAACCTCCCAATTTATAGTGGTGAGAAAATACTGAATGAAAGATGTTGTTGTTAAACTTTGTACAATTAAATCTACAGTTATACTGAACCGATTTTATTAATTAATAGGTCATTGGTAAGCCTAATTTGTGTAGATTTGCAAATAATTATGAAAGTTTGGTTTTTTAAAGATTGACTAGATGAAACCCGTCAAAGTCGACAGTTACTGTTGAGGTTGCAAGCAAGATCGTTTGACTATAAATCTATGATAAATAACTCAATTTTTTTAACAATTTGTGTTGTTCGTGATTTAGCTGTGTCCTTTAGGTACATCCGATCTTAATAATCAATAAATCAAATGGAAGCTGGTATTTCACTGAAGGTTCTTAGGACAAAACAAATAGAACAACGTAATTTGAATTGAGTAAAAATATCACAAACTAAATTCCACATCCAAAATATAATCAAATTTATGTTTTCTGATTGAGCGATACAGTATCTTGAAGTTAGCTGATTAAAACAGTGCTTTAGGTACGATTATTAAGATCGGAATCTTAATAATTAATAGCTCAAATGAAAGCTGGTATTTCACTAAAGGTAAGGGTAAGGGGGGTTGGGGTAAGGGTTGGGGTTAGGGTTGGGATAAGGGTTTAGACCAAAACATTTAGGGTAATTTAGTTAGAGCTGCTGAAATACATCTTTAATTAAAGTAAAAAAAAAATTAAATTTTTTCGTTGGGTAATACATTAGAAAAATTAATAATTTGATAATTTGATCACAAATATTTGCTTGCATAACTTTATTTTAAGACCAAAATTAAGAAAATGGGATGGGCAGAAGAGCCAAACGAACTTGAAAAAAAACTAATTTAACTCCCATAAGAAATGTACAGGGACACATTTTGTGCATAACTCGAAATATACGTAAATAAAAACGAATGCCGATTCTTGATTGCAAATCTGTAGTGCGTCCATATTTTTAGTTTGAGGCCAAAATTATGAAAATCGGTCGAGTAGAAGAGCTAACCCGACTCGGAAAAGAAACCCCATATATTATTATAGATGGCCATAGGTGGTTTATCAGTATGCATAATCTAATCATACGAAACCTTTTGTGTTGATAATTAAACGGCTTATTGTTATTTGATTGATTTGTCTTTAATTAAATGTTGTCGTTAACAATTTGCATTTGTGTTTAAAGTAAATTATCATTCTAATGTTATGTGCTTAATCTGTACCATTAATATTAGTGATTAAAGTGGTGTATGGATTTCAAAACCATTAATAATCGTGGAATAGATATGATAATTGAATGATTATTTTTCGTAGCCAAGCAAGTGTACGGCAATTTGTACAGTTACTACTTTACAGAAAACGGTCTCATTAGTCAGCCCGCAATACAGCCGTGTTTTGGTCAAGTATCCTACATTTTGCAGGCGTAGTTACGAGTGAAGTAGTCTCCAGTTGTCCGCCGCACCGTTTGGTTAGGTTGGCCATGGGTTGGCCAAACCAAACTGTGCGACTCAGAGGCAAGTGGGAGGGATTGTTGGTCTCATGCTCCGCCGGCCGCAGACCTTGCGGAAACTAGCGCGGGGGAGATTGACCGCGGTGGACCTAGGTATGACTCCGCGCGTAATAATCAGTACAGTGTGTCAAGGATGTCGTCAGACGAAGAAGGTGCAATCATTCCTAAACAGAAAAAATAATGTTTACTTTAGTTACATTATTGAATCAGCAATCTGACACATACTATCTCCCATTAGCTTGTCAACAACCATTATCATGGATAAGTGATTAGAATAGTAATGATATTTAAAAGGGAATTTAGTAACTATGTTACTATGATATTAGGTATAATTACAAAAGTCACATTAACTTTAGAATCGTAACTTTTACAGCAATCAGGCTGCAGCAATAGTGAGGAGAGGGCTGCACAACTGTATATTGTTTAGAACTAAAAGGACCTCAAAGGTAGTAATTCAAGGATGGCTGCAACTTACTAAATCTTTATTAAAGTCGTTTCGGCCATTTCCGGAAAAGTCAAATTTTCCGTCTTTTTATGGGATAATCACCATTAAAAATCAAAATCTCTAAACAATTCTAAAATACCTGGAGATATTATGGAATAGTACCTACATACAAATTTTAATCAAAATCAGAGCTCTGTACACATCCAGAGTTATTAGGCATAATTAAGATATTTAAATAAGTTAGAAAGATAGCTACCGTAACATTTACCCTATTATAATAATTAAAATAATTCAATAATACACATTTACAATATGTGTACAATATGGGAAGGGGAATAGTTCTCCACTAGTTTTCAACAAGTTGCTTGCGCAAAGCGCGTAGCAACTAGTCTTCAACTTTTTGTTGTCAACTTTCTTTGATCTTACCGACTCTCCGCGGGAAACCAAAATTTAGTGGAAAACTTGTTGCTCCACTAGTTGACGACGGAAAAAGTTGCTGAATTTTGTAGAAAAAGCAACAAGTTTCCGAAACTAGTCGACAACCTGGTTGTCAACTTTGGTGTAAACGCGGCTTTATTGCCTTGGTGCCTTCTGCTGCAGCTGCTCCTATAGCTCCTATGTCTGTCGTCAAACGTCATAATGTGGCCTTGCCGACGGAAGGCCATAATTTTATTCACAATATTACAGTGAGAGTGAATGCAAATAAATAAGTACAACATAATATCTGAACCTGGCATAAAATTTGCCAATGAAAATGTTTATTATCCAATTACATTAAGGCTGATAACCAGCATGATAAATATATAAGAACTTAAATTACGGAGGAATTTTAAAATTAATATTCCAGTAACTTGCGCAATTAACGCCAGATAAATTACCACCCCCTTACTTTTAAAAGCGTTTAGATGACCTTTGCATATTTCCTCCATAATAATGCACTATGCACCATGAAACTGATCAAAAGGAACAATGTTGGAATAAATTAAATCAAATATTTTCCTCTCCTTTTAGGCTAGTCCTAGTAGTTTTTGTAATCTCTTGTCTTCTCTCTTCTGTCTGTCGGTGTTGGTTGGTTTGGTTTTTTTTTTTAACAAAGTTTATTTACAATCTGTTTTACATTAAACAATTAATAATTAAATACGATGACATTTTTATTAATAAAATAAAAATTGGAAAACATGAGTTAGCAGCTAAACTGGTTTGTTTACGTTTTGGTTGGTTGGTTGGCGCTATGGAAGCCAATCGATTTACGATATTCGATAGTAGCTGTTTTCATACTACGACGATCGATACTTAACCGTATGCCTACCATATCGTTGTGAACCCAGCGCTATCCGAAAAAGTCAAAGTTGTACTTTAACCTCAACAACAACATAACATAGCAATATTAATATTTAATCATTTTCATCGATCTTTCTTTCCGTTTTGTTACATTTTTTGCTTATCACGGTTCCTTTATAAACTCTCGTACCTTAATCTAATGAAAGCTATTTAATTATATCTACCAAATAAATTAAAGGAGGAAGAAAATCAAACTAGACTAGGCCTACCTCCAAGTATTTCTATTCTAGGCTATTGGTATTTTGAAGTTTTCTGACAAGAAGTAATTTAGGTTCAAGGTAATGGCCAGGGTGCTTGTTGGCGTTAAACGAGTGATCGATTATGCTGTTAAGGTAAGTTAAAACTTCTTTAATCCACCCTTCTATCATTTATCTCAGGGTTTCTCTGTGTAGCCTATTTGGTCTTCATTTTCTCCAATCACTCAGCCAATTGATGCCTTTCCTTTTTAACATATAGGCCTAAGTTAGGCCATGGATTAAACATACTCCTCAAGTCCTCAAGGAGTATGTTTTATCTATGGTTAGGCCTAGGTCTGTAGTTTGATCTCCCTGGGTAAATAAATGCACTCTCGGCCTAGGTCTATGTAGATAGGGCTAAACTTAGTTAATATCAAAGCCTTCAAAACCTGAAGTTGAGATACTTAGTGAATAATAATTTTGGGACCCTTTGGGGTACAGTTTCTGAACTGGGCTATGCTAATATCGATTGAAACTATCGATTCGATTAGTAAACCTTCAAGCGATTTTTTCACCATCAGCAAGTTTGGTTGGTTAGGTTAGGTTATGATAGTTTAATTTTATAATAGATATATTTAAAAATATCTATTATTAATCAATATTTTCAATTCGATAGTTTCAATCAATGTTAGCATAGCCCAGTTAAGAAACTGTACCCACACTTTGTTTACCCTAGGACTGCCCTGATGGTTTGGATGAACGTCCCTGTCTTTTTTGCAATTCCGCAAGGGTTAATTTTAATAATGTGCAGTGTCTAAATTACTTAACCTAACTCATTTGTAGAAAAAAGGAGATAGCCTATGAAAAAAATAGGCCTAGGCTAAATAAAAATCCCTGAGATATTTTTTTTCTACAGTTGAAAAACTAATAATTTTATTTGCGTTACATTTTTACCAAAAAATTCAAAAGTAGAGTGCTGGTAGGTATTTTCCTACAATTATGAATGATAATTGTACCTACTATGAACTATGAACTAACTAAATCTAAGATACTTAATATGTACCTAAACTTAGACATTTTTATTTCTCTACCTAAGGTGGAAATAAACTGGCACACTTCCATATCTGTTGGCACAAACAACCGAATGAAAGTATCGATCGATATATCGATTATTCGTTATATCGTTTGGTTAGTTAGGTACGGTTAACTTAACCTAACGAACCAAATGACATACTGTATTGAATTAAACAATCTAGTAATCAATATTACTCATTCGGTTGTTTGTGCCAACAGATATGGAAGTAAGTGTACCGTACCTACCCAAATAAACTTAATGTTTTTATTAAAAAAAGTTTACCCAATCAAAAGAATAATTTACCCATGTGAAATAGGAATATGTAGATAAATGTACACTCATTAGGCCTATATGAAACATAGAAAAGATGCGGTAACTTATTGGTAGTGTGCATATTAAGGTGACCTATTAACTTAAGGTGAACCTCAGTGTTGGGAAGTAGCGCGCTACAAGTAGCGACGCTACAGTAGCGCGCTACTTTTTTTGTAGCGTTAGCTGTAGCTACGCTACTTTTAAGATTTTGTAGCTTTAGCTGTAGCTAGCTACATTTTAAAAGTAGTTGTAGTGAAATTTTAGCTACTTTTCTCTCTACATTAACATTGATTGAGATAGGTAGTGATTTTTATCACAGCCTTACGTGAAACAACCTTTTTCAAACTGAGATTTTCAAGAAAATTAGGCCTACTTTCTTGGCTTCATACAGCTGGTCACAGTCGTTTCATTACCTATTACAACGTTGCGTGGACACGGAGGCCATTATCTGAGTGTTACCCACATTTTTGGCTCTCATTTCCTTCATTTGCTACTCTATGATTACTGTCAGATAAAATAAAATCGCTAGATGCAGACGACGTTTAAACGTTAAACGTTACCGGTGACAAGAGAAGCTATTGAATGCTTGCAAGTGATTGACAGGGAAATTAGTAATCAATTTAGTTTCTTTAATGTATCAATTTAGTTTAAACTTGGGTTTTAATGGAAACCAACACTAAACCTTAAAATAATTAGAAAGCTGGTCTATCAACCTTTGCTTCAGCTGTTGATTGTGGTTCATCATCACAAGCCCTTCCTTGGTTAGATTAGGGCCTACAAAGATTTTTCAAAGGTTTACTAAATGAACAAAGAAGAAATTTCCTGATGAGATTTAAGATATGCCTAGAATACATAATAATTGTAACGAAAAAATCTCCATATATAGGCCTAACATAAAACTTGCATTGAAAAAGTAGCATACAGTAGTTTGCTCCTGCTAACAGCTCTTGTCAAGCCTAGTCATTCCTAGGTTATGCTATTGGATTAATACGAATACCAAGTTCAATTAATAGGAATATATCTGTTTAGTCCTTGTAAGAACAAGCAATAGCCAACTTGTTACAAAGCCAAGTACGCCTAAATGTTATTTTTACTTAACAATTTTCAACATGTTTAAATTAAAAGCCGATTTCACGATAAGTTGCTGAAAACTGTTTTCTGCACCAACGTTTATTGAAGCACAATTTGACCTATGCATAATGACAAAGGACGATTTCTTGACATTGAAAAGTGTTATTGATAGAACAAGTAACATATTACTATGGTTAAAAGTTATAGCAATGTCGTTTTTAACATTAAAAATAAAGAAAGGCAATAAACTCCAATTTCAGTAGGCTAGGCTCTAATAACACAAAAAAGTATTTTTAAATATCCGGTAATCGTTTTACAGTTTTATTGTTTTTAATAGTTGATAAAAGACATCTATAAATGAATGTATATTAAAAAAATAAAATGGGCTTTGAAATTTACATAAGATGCTTAAAAATAATGCAATATTTAAAAATAAGTACCTACTAAATATGATGGAACACCCAACTAACTTATTTTGGTTCTGTTGTTGTAATGTTAGGTTTATATAGTTGCAATTAATTTTACATTTACATTTACCAAATGTGCTTGGAATAAAAGTAACGTCTTTGGAAAAGTGGCTAAAATTGTAGCTATAGCTACATTTCATTGTAGCTGTAGTTGTAGCTAGCTACTTTCTCGGAACTGTAGCTGTAGCTAAGCTACTTTTTTGGAAATGTAGCAGTAGTTGTAGCTAGCTACATTTTAAAAGTAGCTTCCCCAACACTGGTGAACCTATAGCCTATATCATTAAAAACTAAGTTAACTTAGATTATTACCTGAAAAACAGTGGTGCAATCATTTTTCTGCGGTGACAAAAATTACTCCCACAACAATCATTTCAATTTTTTGAAATAAGTTAATCCTATTAGGAATGTTGACCTGCTCTTCAATATATTTGTAGCATGTAGGCTACAAAAATCAGTGTTACCATAACTTAATAGCCCAAGTAATTTGGCTTAAGTTATTGATTGATTTCTTGTAATTTTTTAAAAGTAACTTATGTTAGCCTGCTGGCTACATTAACAACTCACTTGACAGGTATATACACATTAAGTACCTACCGTACATAGGCTAGCCTAGGATAAAATATTTTATTAAAATATTAAGATCCTATTCATTTAAACAACTCTTGGTCGGCCATATTTTATTCCTGGACTGGAGACTGTATTATTAGATACGGTACCCCCGCCGTAGCAAACCTGCAGCCTGCGGATTTCCATTTACCTGGCTGGGATTCCACTAAATTGTTCCCTTAAAATTGTCAGATTTTTTTTCTTTTTAAAATATCATTAGTTTTTAATATCCAGGAGCTCATTGACAGGATGCTGAGTTCATTAAGCAACTCAGGTTTGACGGACTCTGAAGTAACATGTGGGGAACGCAAAAAGCCCATCAGTGGCTGACGTGCAACAGGACAAGGTCCGCCCCTACAGAATCAATCAATCAATCAATCAATCAATCCAGGGGGTCCCAACCTGGATGATGCCTATTTATTTATTTTCATTCGAACTGTTACACATTTTTGGGTACTTTGGTATTATCCGGAGGCCACTAATTTTAGAGGGGTTTTTTTTACTAGAGACTGAAAAGGACATATTTTCAATTGACTTAACTTACTGTCCAAATTTGAAATGATTACGATTAGCGGCCTTTCAGTTCTGCCTCCCAGAAGGCAGCGATGTCAGCAAGCTCAAACTCAAATATCTTTATTTTTGACAGTCGTTACAAACTGCATAATAGCGTCAACAAAATCTGTCTTAAAATAAAAACAATATTTCTTATGGATAAAATCTAAACACTAAAAATCATTGATTTCTTAAAAAGTCTTCTACACTGTAACAACAGCGTGACAAAAGAAGACTCTTAACCCCTTTGCCAAATTTGTCCACACTATTTTCCATCTTCAGGGGAGCGGGCGGTGCATTGAACAGTTGAATGCCAAAGTTGTAAAATAAATGATTTTCAAAAAACGCAGTTTTGTGCTTTGGAATGTCCAAATCAGACCGGCTTCTCAAACCATAGAAGATAGGGCGAGACTGATTTTGAAAAAGGTTGATATTTTTCTTAACAAATACGAGACAGTTTAAGATATAGATTGACGGAAAAGTAAGGATTTTATAGTTAGCAAAAAGTGTTTTACAGGAAAATCTACGTCGCTTCTTTTGTTCTGATGGCTTTCTTTTGTAGTTTAAAAACTCTTTTAGAATTTACACACTCATGTCCCCAAACTGCAACTGCATATGAAAGACAAGGAAAAACCAGTCCGTAGTAAGCCACCTCACTAGAACTTAGAGTCAAAGAATGTTGCCAAATTTCTTAATAAGAATATATTAGAACTCAATTTATTACAGACATAATCTAAGTGGGGTGCAAATTTCAACTGGCTGTCCATGTGAACTCCCAGGAACTTAGTTTCTGAACAGGACGGAATGAAATGATTGTTGTCTATGGAAATTGACAGGGGTGCTGTGTTTTCTTTGTTTCTGATATGAAATTCGATCATTTGAGTTTTGGCACTGTTTACAAACAAGTTATTGCAGCTAAACCAATGTAATATTAAGCTGATCTGACCAATTGCTTTCCTTCTGAGGTTGCGCATGCATGCTGCAGACAACGACAATGAGGTGTCATCAGCAAACAAACATACCCTACCCTCAGACTCAGGCACACATCTTGGCAGGTCATTAATAAAAAGGAT